GTTTTTTCTATTTTGCTGAATATCATTTCTTAGAAAGGCAATTTTTATTGGATGTGTACTTGTGACCGGCACTATACTTGTCAAATTCAAAAACAAGAGGATAAGGATACTAGAACCTGTTTTGAAAAAATTGGATTTAAAAAATTTTTTCAAAGACATATTCAAATTATTAATTTTGATAATGATGAATTGGATTTATTTTTAAAAGCACAACTATTAATAATGGAAATAGAAAATAAAAATTATAAAGAATCTTCTGAAAAGATCCCTCAAAGAATAAATTTTAGATATTGTTTTAACTCAACATATTCTCTTTGTAAAACTGCATTTTTAAAGTTATATAATATAAGTAATCATAAATTTAATAATATTTTAGATCATTTATATAATGAAGGAATAAGTAAACAAATTCATGGAAATACTGGAAGAGCTCCTATATTTAAAACCAAAGTTAATATTGATGAAAATTTAAAATCCATTGTGAATAATTTTTTAAATGAATACTCTTTAATACATGGATTACCTTCACCAATGAGACATAGAAATGATTCTGGTACATTTATTTATCTTTCAACAGATAAAAATTTTAAGTCTGTATATAATGAATTCAATGAATTTTATTCCAAAAATATTTTAAATGATGAGTCAGTAAATGACTCTGAAAAAATTATTCATTATATATCCTTTAGAAGGTTATGGAATGAACTGATGCCTAATTTAAAATTTCAACCTCCTGCAAGTGATTTGTGTGATAATTGTGTCCAATTTAAATCAAAATTGCAATTAGCAAAAAGAAATATTGATGAATATGATGAAATCAAAGCTCAATTTAATGAACAGTTTGAAAATTTAAAAGAAAATATGGCAAAAATTCTCAATGCTTACCTTAAGGAAGAGCAACAAGAAGAAAAAAACAATTGAGATTATTGGCACAAAGAAGATTTAAAAGAGTTAATAAATGAAAATGAAGATAAACCAGTTGAAGTTGCTATTGAAGTTATTGAAAAATGGGAAAAAGATGCTAAAGACCATGCTGAGGCATTAGATACAGCTGAAGAATGAAAAGATAGGCAAAAAGGGCTTTTGAATGATGAAATCAAAGCCCAAGCATTAATGTTAAAAAAATCTGGTAAGATGCTTGAAGAAGAGATAGAAAAAATGCAAAGTTACAAGAGGAGTCAGAAGAGAAATCAAAAATGTTAGTGAAAAGTGAAGAAAGAGAAGAAGAGATAAACAGACAACTATATTTGGAAAGAAAACCCTTGCCTGCTCTACCTAAAAAGTGGAATACTTTCCAAAATTAGGTTCAAGAATTAAAACCAAATTCCAAAAACTTCAACAATTAGTAGAAAATAAAAAACATCAAACCCAAGAATTTACTGCTCAAATAGAAATAAAAGTTAATTAGTTTACTTTATGAGAGAATTACTTTACACTATTTTGGAGTTAGAAGAATGACATAGCAGTAATTCTACTTATGTTTTTTGTTCTGGTTTAAAAAAAGCAGTTTGTCAAATCAGAACCCAAAGCAAAATGACTGGTGAAATGATTGTAAGTGATAAGGCTTGTGAAAGTTGTAAAGAGGAGTTTGAAATGATGAGTTGCCTAAATGTAGTTGTGGAAGGTTAAAGAATAGATATACTTGTGATTGTAAAGAAGAGGAAAATGAAAAAGAGCTTCCTCTTTTACCTCACCAGAATGGAGGGGTGGCATTTTTTTATAAACAGCAAATTGAGAAGAGCTAAATATAACTGAGACAGAAATAGACACACATTTGGAAGCCTTAGAATTTGCCAAAGATTGACACAAAAGACAAAAACAAGAATTATTGGATCGAATTAAGCAATTAGAATTAGAGAATGGTAACTATAAAGACAAAATTAAAAAATTAAAAACACAGTTAGAACAGTTAACTTCTCAACAGCAAGTTGCTCAAATTGAAGTTAAAAAATGATCTTGATTGAAAATAAGAAAGTAATTGAGGAAATTTCCCTCTGTATAAATTGAAATTCATTTCTAACTATCAAAGAAAACAATAGTTATTTTCCTTTTAAAGATTTTTGCTTTTTATTAGGTAATAATGCATCATCATAATGTTTTCTTTTTCCAACATTTATTATTTTTCTTGGTAAATTTCATAAGTAATCCTTTCTTTTTTTAGATAAGCTTCCAGCATTTGAGTATTGAAAATATAAGGAGCAATTTTTTTTGCCAATAAAAAAATTTTTCTTATATATGGGGCATACTGCAACAAAACCAGACAAAGTGAACATTGGTATTACTAACAATTTCAGGGATCAAAATTTAGTGATTATTAAAATCCCCATTTGTTATATTTGGGGGGTTTCTAGCAAAAGGTAGCTTAATTCGTGTTCCACGAATAAAGGAAAGAACTTAATTAATGCTGATCGGGGCAAAAAATTTTATTTTCATATTAAAATTAATTTGGTCGATTTTTTTGCCCCCACAAAAAGTCACACATTTATTATGTTACATATATTATCTTTTATATCCAACCATGTTAAACAAATGTGAAATATTATATTTACTTATGAAAATATGAGCTGTTAAATTTGTCAGTTTTCTGTTATTTAA